ACACTTAATTACCTATTCAAAGGTCTTATCTGCAAATACAGGGCCACAATAGACACAGACAGTTCAGTCTCTAACACTGAGAGAGCTGTCTGTTGTTATTGAAATTAAGTGAGATAATAAATGAGAGCCCCTAGGCACTGGCATTAAGATCGGCACCTGTTCAGTAGAGACACCTGTGAACTTTTTTTCTGCCTCTCCATATGGTGAACTTGGCTGATTACTTCTTGTCTTTCCAAACTGACATTTGCTGTTGGACCCTAGCTGTGCAAGCGCGTACCATTCATTCACTGTACATCAAGAGGAGTGTGCGTGAAAGTGTGCGTCACAGGCCTGTGACGGCAACTTGGGCTGACATTTGCTGGGTATTTGCCATGCCAGGCACTGCTCAAGCACCTTACATGTGCTCAGCCATCCTCACGGTGCAGGCAGCATGAGTTTCCTCATGTAAGGCCAATAGAAAAGAAGAAAAGAACAGGTAGAAAGTAGTTTGGGATTCAAACTCAAACCTAGAATTATAACCCTTGTCCTGATAGCTATTATCAGCTTAACACAGCCTACTGTCAGCCATCGAGGGGAGAGCCTGAATTGAGTAATTGTGTACATCAAATTGGCCTATGGGCAGGTCTTGGATGTTGACTGACGTAGGAGGTCTACTCTCACTGTGGGCTGTGCCTCCCAACTACATAAGAAAGCTACGTGACTATAAGCAGCCTAGGGACCAGCAACCAGCATCCTCCAAGGCTCCTACTTGTACTGCCTTGGCTATGAACACAGTGAGTTCCTTGTGAGAGGCAATGTGTTGTGGACTAATGAGCAGGCCTGTTTTCAAGTTCCTGCCTTGACTGCCCTCAGTGATGGACAGTGATCTAGAAGAGTAAGCTAAAACAAACCCTTCCTCCCCTAAGTTGCTTTTGGTCAAGGAGTTTTAGCATAGCAACAGAAATAAAACTGGAACACTAATGGTCTAATACAGTGGAGATATGATTCCACTGTATTCTCTTGAACCCTGCTGGACACTGCCTGACTGTGGAAGGGAGCAGAAGGAACATCATGGCCCTCAGATGCAAACTCCTCTTGAGTCCCCCTGAACAGCCTGGGGTGGCATTTATCCAGCCCATAGGTTTTAGCAAGCTCTCCTGCCCAGAAGCCCCTTGAGACAGCCATCAAAAGAATGGAGAGCTTTAGCCAGCTGAGGCAAACTGGTCCCAGGTCTAGTCTGAGGTCAATTTGGATTGATAGTTTTCCAGTCCCCTTGGAAGTTGCTTAATCCCCCTCCATGTCAACTTGAATTTTTTTTTTTTTTAAATTCTAGTTGAAGTCAGGCCATGCTCTCTGTCCCCGATAAGACAAATGACTCAGAAATGTTACGGAGGTTTAGACAACAGAATGGTGTTGAGCAGGGGTGGAGTTAGGGAGCCTGGGGTCACCCTGTGGATAGAAAGGTGTAGTTGTACTTTTTTAAAACTCTTATTTACGTTTCTTTTATCTTTTTCCCCCCACTCCACCCCAATCCCTTCCAACAGCCCAACAACAGGAGAGAGAAAAGGTTAGTGGGAGAGGGGACGCAGTTCTCTAAGCTGCTTCCTGCTGGTTAGGGTCGTCAGTTTCCATTGAGCCAGTCCAGTCCTCCTTTCAGGAGAGCTCCAACTTCCTGTCTCACAACAGAAACCAGGAGCAGCAGGGGGCAAGCAGCAGCCTTGTTCTCGGAGCCCTCCCTCCACGCTCTCTGGGCTCTGGCATTTATTCTCTCTCCAGAGTCCTCAGATTTAAATTATCTGCAGCTGGCAAAGAGCCCCTCTCAGAGCCCGCACGAAGCAAATAGTCTGCTTCTGCGGACCATCTGAATCAGTCTCACAGCCCACACCTGGGAGCAAAACAAAAACACTTTTATGCCCACAACAGAAAGGTGCAGTATCTTCTAGAGATCTGCTGTACTGTGCAAGTCCCTATAGTGAACAATCAGGTATTATGTACTACAAATGTGTTAAGAGGGTAGATTGCATATTAAGTCTTCTTACCACTAAGAAAAAAAAAAAATAAGAGGGAGAGAACATTTTGGAAGGGGCTAAATATGTTCATTATTGGGTTGGATGACACTATCATGAACATGTGTATGTCCAAATTCACCAAATTGTGTACATTGTTATATGAGCTTTTGAATACCGGTAAAGTGGGGGAAGATTACTGTAAGAAGGTAACGTTAGAATCTAGCCCCTCCCACTCCCGTGGGCAACAGTAAGCTTGCAGCTGAGACATGGTCCATGAGCCCCTATATCATAGACAATCCAGTGCCTGGATCTCTCATCCAGGCAGTCAGATTACAGCACAGCAACACATCCTGCCCTTCATACCCTTCCCTGCCTCTGCCTGGGTACCAGAGGGCGTGGCTGCAGGCTCATGCAATGAAACCCATAGCGGTCCTCAAAGCAACATGAAGAGGCTGCCTCCTCGGCCACATAAGCTCTCATGTTCCTGAGAGTCCTGGCCATGCTGTCAGCCCCTGTTGCTGGGGCCCGAGCTATCCTCAGAGTTCCCTGTGTGCTATTGCCTTTCCGTTTGTCTGTCCGTGGCTATTAAAAACTCTTCTGATGAACCCTTTCCTCCTCCAGTAATCTTTCTCTGTATCCTCTTGAACCCACCTCCATCCAAAACCTAACAATGACCTACAGAGGAACTGCAGTTAAACTGAAAGTATGTTTCTTCCCAACAGTAACAGAGGCCCAGTGATGGTGGGGTAAAATGGTTAGGGGAGAGCCTGGCCTCAGTGAGTAAGCAGTACACTTGCTTAGCCTGCCTACACAGTTTCCACGTGGAAGACAAAAGCCAGGCTCCAGAGCCCCATGCTGCTGGAGTCAGGATTCATGGCACATCTGTGAGACAGGCATTTTAAAATGCCCCACTGCAAATCTCATACACTTTCCACCGTGGGGAGTTGGACTCAAGGCTCCCTTTCTGCTCCCTCAGTCATGACACTGAGCCCCACCCTGCATAGGTGCATGGCCCTGTGTCGTTTGTCCCTTACAGTCTAAGAGGTGTAACGCTCAGCTTCAGATAAGGGCACAGTGGTTGTTCGTCCCCTCCCTCGTCCCCAAATGTGTTGAGAGGGGGTTGTAGCTGGCTTGGGTGACAACCACCACCTTGCCCATCCAGAACATCCTCATAGAACTCAGCATTATTCAGAGGAAGCTGGACCTAGTGATGGCAAGGACTTTAAGAGGCGATAGTACCAGACCCAGGAAAGCTTTCGTTCCCCTTTCCAGCAGCGCCTCAGCTCCAACTTAGAATATGATGGAAAAGATGCGCTGTAAGTGGACATCTGCAAGGCAGCAGCCACAGAGAACAAAGAACTTACCTTTAGCCTCATGGTGTCACCAGCAGCCAGTTAAGTAGAGCGAGGGGTAGTTTGAGAGAAAGACAGACAGACAGACAATGAGAATATGTAAATGAAGATATTCACTGTCTCTCTATTTCACGTAGTGAAGAATTATTCTCTCCCAAGTCCCCAGGGGCCCTGAGAGGAAGTCCTATGGGGAAAATTAGAAGGGAAAAAAAAGCTGTCACATGATTTGGGTGCAGTGGAAGAGAACAGTCGGAGAGACTATCCCCCAGCTAAGTCAGAACTCATTCTTGCAGGGCCTGAGGCTTGGTGGAGACCAGAGTGGCTCAAAAATGCCCCTCAGTGACAAAGTCGTGGGACCATGCCTGATGTGCCAGGGCCTCTGGTCAGAAGCCTGATACTAGAATATGCTGAGGGAAGAATACTTGTTGCAGATGGCGAAGGGGCTCTTCAGGTCAGAGCTGGCTCCACTTGCCATGCTTTCTTTAATGGGAACACAGTAGGGCTGTGAGAAACACAGGCCTGGGCCATCATGCAGGCACAGCCCACTCTCACGTTACAGCCAGCAGGACCCTTGCACTGGGCTCCCATTTCCAGCCTCACTTTGTCAGTTCTGCCAGCTCCTGAGCCCTGCCCACGGCCACATACGATGGGAACGTCAGAGTGCAATTAGAGTCCAAGGGACCTGAAGAATGTTTCCGGGGTCTGGAGCCATGTACACGTAATTGAGATAACTGAAAAAAGGAAAAAAGGGGAAGGGACAAGGCTTTGTCTTCCGTTTTCTGGGTCTGACTTTTGGTCGATCAATCAGTCCTAAGAACTTGCTCAACACTTTATCATCATCATCATCATCATCATCATCATCATCATCATCATCATCATCATTGTTATTACAAATGGTTGGAGGAACTTAAATGCTTATAACCCACATTTTAAAACTATATAGGGAAGGCTGATAAGATGGTTCACTTGGTAAAGGTGATTGCAACCCTGAGTTTGATTCTTAGAGCAGAAGCAGGATGGAAAAAGAAAAACGACTCACACAAGTTGACCTATGACCTCCACATGTGCAGCATCTCTCTCTCTCTCTCTCTCTCACACACACACACACACAAACACACACACACACACACACTTAAAATTTACATCTAAATCAGGAAAGGCAAGGCAGTGTTTCTTGATTCCCTGTAAGTCAAACTTTTCATGAATACAGCAAAATACCTGACAAGATGAATCAAAGCAGTTCAGGCCATGGTGACTTGGGGCTGTATCTCTGGGTCTGGGGTGAGGCAGAGTGCGATGGCGGCGGGAATGCATGACTGACAGAAAGCCGAGAGAACCGGAAGCAGCCAGGGACAACACAACCCCAAGAACTCTCCCCTGGCGTCCTACTTCTTTCCATTGGGCCCTACCTCCCAAAGCATCCATAGCTTCCCAAAATAACCCCACCAGCTGGGGACCCAGGGTTCAAACACAAGCGGACCTGTGGGGGGCATTTGAGATTCAAACAAAGTCCCAACTTGAAGGCCACCTGCCCCTCCTTCAAACCCCAGGATAACTTTGGAAGAAGTCCCTCAACCTGCAGGAGGACTAGGAAGCAGCCTTCCACCCCAAGAAATGGCAGTCCTCTCTGACATCCCTTTGGTTTGTGTCATCCCTCTAGGGCACTTGGTCTGAACCGCTGCACTGACAAAGGGGAAGCTCTGCTTTGAAGAAAGAAGAAAGCCCCGCCCCCAGCGGCTGGGGGCCACCTCACCAGCGACTCTGAGTGGAAGCGCTTCAGCGGTGTGTGCCTGGAGGCCACGGCAACTCCGGAGCTCTCAGTGTCCCTCCCAGAAGCTGGGTGGGAATTGTTCATAGTGCCAAAGTCCTACTACTGCGTTTTCAATGGGTCCCTGTACATAGTCTCTGCCTTGGCCCCGCCTCTTGCTTTACTGGAACTGATTTATATGATGTGGGAATTTTGTTACCTTTTTAATCGAGGGCAACTTCCTTTTTCCAGCACTTACATGGTAAGGTGTTTGCTTTTTTTTTTTTTTTTTTTTTCTCCCCGGAAGGAGGGCTAACCACATTGCTTTTCTCTTTTTTTCTTATAATTTTATTAACGAGAGGGAGGACACGTTAGTGCCACTGTAGCTACTGGATTTTAGGTAGGAGAAAAAAAAATTTTAAGGTAATTTGACATTTGGGAGATGTCTGGGTGGGAAGGGCTGGGGTTGGTTCTCTGGCTCGAAGTGGACCAGGTTCACAGATAGCAGACCTTCTGCATCAAGCCCATTCCCCTTTCCCCCATGGAACAGACCCTGCCTCTGTTCCATGTAAAGAGGTGGGTCTGTCTGGCTTCCCAACTGCTTTGGATAATTGGGGAACAGGTGTCCGCCCTCTTGACAAATCATTTTTAAAATACCAGCAGAAAGGGCTCCCTCGATGGATGATGCTATTGTTATCCTTAGAAAATTAAAAGAGAGAGTGGTCTTCCTGTCTAGATGGTACAAAGGTAAACATCTCTGGTTTTCTTCTCTTCCTCACTGCCTTTCCTTGGTGTGGCATTTGACAAGATTTCAGCCTGAAGCCTCACTATGAATTTTTTGTTGTTGTTCGTGTGTGTGTGTGTGTGTGTGTGTGTGTGTGTGTTGGGCCAATTTTAGATACCTGAGTGCACTTTTTTTTTAGTTAGTCCTAACTTTTAAAGAAGGAAAGCCAAGACATATATCTCATGTAAATGTCGCAACATGGATTCTGTTTGCTGTCCTTGTCCCCTCTCCCACTCCCCAGACCCTTGACCCCACTTGAGTACACTGCACAAATAAAAAGCTAGGGAGTTTGAATAAAAGCAGTTTTTCTAACTTGTTGCTCATTTGTTGTAACTCAATAAAGCAAAGACTAAACATTTTTATAACCTTCCCACCGCTCCTTGTTCTTCATTGTTCTGTGGATTCTGAGGCCTCAGCCTGTGGTCCTGATTTGGCCCCCTCTCACTGCCAATTCATTATGGCCATAGTTTTTAATGATTATATTTTAAGTGTGAGTGTGAGCCACCGTGAGCCACCGTGAGCCACGTGTCATTGCAGCTGGTTTAATCTGAGAATCATGACTAATAGTCACCCTGAACTTAGAATTCATTCAAGACTTTCCAAGGTCAAAGCCTACACCCACCCACTGTGTAAAACGTCTCTAGTGTCTAGATCAGTCTCTGTCACATACACCCTTGTGGTTGCCTTCAGCCCTGGGCATCTGCAGACAAGACAGTGGTGCCCATGGGTAAAGGGCACAGAGATAAATCACTCCAGAGATGATCTCAGGGAACAGTGTCCGATTTTATTACACGAGCAGCCACTTAGGCAGCGGAAGCCTGTGGTGGGTTAGCACGTTGCCTGGGATTGGACAGTAAGTGCTCAAACCACCAGGGGCTCTGTGTGGAGGAAGCGCTTGAAGGGAGCCATGGAGAGTGCAGACTCATCTGCAGGCAGCCACCAGCTACTCACACTACTTCAGAATTCAGGGTCCTGGCTTCGGGGGCATGGGGCACCATGCTTCTTATTCAGAAGCACAGTGTGCCAGGTAGGCTGGCTGCCAAGCTGTGCCTGCAAAACACCGCCTACCTGTGCTGACAAGTCAAGCTTGATGAGGCCAGAGGCTTAGAGGCTTCCTAAGGCTCTTGAGAAGGGAAGCCAGAAATGGAGAGTCACAGCTGAGGAGGGGTTCCTCTGAGTGTCCACCCAGCCAGATAAGAGGCTAGGCAGTCTAGGACAGGAGCCACAGGCTCGAGTCCAGCAGGAGAAAGGAATGGTGTGGTTCCACCTTTCCATCATGGGGGGGGGGGGCTGGCCTCCATGCATCTTTCCTCTTTCTGAGTTCCAGGGAGACAGGGACCAAGGAAGGGAGGGAGAGAGGGAGAGAGAGAGGGAGAGAGAAGGAGAGAGAGAGATTTAGCATTGGCTTGCATAGCTGACTCATTCTGGTCTCTACATTGCCTTTCTCCCTGTGTTCTCAGCACCCAGCCCCTCATCACCCCCATGCTGTCCTGTCCCTCCCATTAATGAGTGTCTCCAGCCCATCACCACAGGTGATTGCACTTCCCTCCTGCTTTTTACCACCCTTGCAGCTAGGCTTGCCTCTTGGAAGCAATTTAAACGAATTCTTCCAGCAAGTCAGTGGGAGCTACCATCAAATGCCTAATGTCTGCAGAAGCCAAAGAAAAGGCCCTGATAATAGGCATGAGTGAAAAACACTGGGAAGATGGTTGTGTCTTTTAACAACCTAGCAAAATGTGTCAGGCTGTGCTTCTCCGGTGGGAATGACTGAGGAATGGCGGACCTAGGAGAGAGATGCTTTGGGACAGGCAGGGTTCTTGAAGAGGTGGGAGAAAGCAGCAGGTGGAGGGGCCAGCTGCTGGTTCCATCTGCTGGGAACCCTTTGTATTCCTAGCACTTCCTTCAAGGGATTTTCTCTTCTGTGGTCAGTCTTCTGTTGAGAGTGGGGGATGGCCATCATGGAGACTCACCTCCCCCACCCACCCCCACCCACCCTCCATCAGGAGAGTACCATCACACTTTAATACACCTAGACAGGTACAGGGCTACACACAAAACCCTATCTGGACCAGCCAGGTTCTGGGAGAAAGGACCAATTTTTCCAGTGGAGATAGTGAGTGTGGTAATATTTGCCAGGAGCCAGGTTCTAAAACTTTTTCTGGGAGACACAAACAAATATCTATGCACTCAAGATAGGACACCAACAGACCCAAATAAACAGTGCCGACAAGTTTAGCCTGATGAAGCAATAAGTTTATTAGGGAATGCTTACAAGAGTGTGGGTAAGTCATGCATATCTATCACCTCGTGCGGGTGATGACTCACAAGAGCTGAGGTCTATAAACCTCTTTCCTCCCTCCTCTCTACCCCTCCTCTCTTCCCAACTCCCTCTTCTCTCTAGGAGAGAACACTTCCATCCAGAGGAAACAGCCACACAACAAACCTCCTGAGGCCTTGCCAGAAGAAAAAGCGAATGTACAAGTAAAAATGCATGTGATCCAAAAGTCAAGAAAAGAGTGGTGTCAGGAAAGGGTAGAGGCGATGATAAATGGTGGCAGCGACGACATTTGAGCCCCTGAAGTCCGAAGTTCCTAAGTCCATCTCCCTGTCCTTCCATTTTCATAACGCAAACACATCCCCCTTTTGATGTGAGACAAACAAACAAACGCCTGAGCTAGGTTTCTGTTGCTAAAATTTCAAAGTTCTAATAGGTTGATCAGATTACAAGATAAAAAGAGAGGAAAATAAGATACATGTAAAGAGACACATAGGGCCAGTGGCCACAGAGCTGGATGATGCAAGGCTGTGTTGTCAGTGTTCAAATGTGGTCCCTAAATCTCCAGCAGCAGCAATTGGACAGGGTTCCCAGGTGACTGGCATGTTCGTTAAAGGGGAAGAAACCACACTGAAGATATTGGATAGCTCCTCCCCACCTCCTGTGAAGGAGCAGTAAATCCAATCACCTATCACCTTGTCTTCAGAGTGTAGGTAGGCAAATGGCCTGGAGAGAAGAGAAGCAGAAGAAAGTAAATTGAGTGTGGTCCGACAGGCACGTGCTCACATATCTATCCAGCACACTTACGTGTCGCCTCCAGCCACAGAACTTGGAGATAACAGCCCTCGGTGGCCTGACAACAGCATGTGCGCTGAGCCACGAGTGACGTCAGCTCCTCTTCTGCTGACACCCGAAAGTTCCCCATGTAAAACACCTCACAGCAGAACATGCCTATGAACCCAAGAAGATATCATCATGATGCTGGGAGGGGCTCGGTACAAATCAGTAAAAAGTACTTGAACACATTCCAGAAAGCAAGCGTTCAAGGCAGGTATCCCACAGAGGGGAAGATGCGCTCTTGAGCTCCTCCCAACTTTGAAGAACTTGAACTCTTCTAACAGGTGAGAAGGAAGTTTCCATCAATTATTCTAAAACCTTCTCCCATAAATGCCCCAAGTATTAGACTCTGTCTGGATCCTTTCAGGAAAGAGGTAGAACTTACAGTGGGTAACCTGGGGACATTTATTCAAACTACTGTTTACAAAGGCATAGCTGGGGTTTAGAGAAACCACTGAGGATGGAGGAAGGGAGGTTGGCCGGAAAAGGCAGGGGACACTTAGCGGACAGATGTACTGAGTAGGCTACCTACAAGGAGCTATGGTGTGAGCCACAGTGACCCAACAGGGAGAGAATCAAGGGAATAAACATTCTCAACTACCCTCTGCTCTTCACTACTGCCTCCAAATAGACAACCTCAAGCAGGAGTCCATGCACAAAAGCATCTGTTGATCAGATCCTTTCAGTGGTCCAGGAAACAACTCAAGATGGCCAATTCACACTAACCTTGCCGTTCTGCCGCATTCCACACTTAACCTTCAGTAGCTAATTACCTGTCAGGTCTCATAATAACTAAAGTAGCGCTCCGTAGTGTTTGTAACCTCAGAATGTGAGGTGAGACGTGAAGTGTGTGCCATTGGCTGCCTGGCTAACAGTTGCTTCCTCTCTCTTTGTTGTTTTGTTTTGAATTTGTGTGTGCATGTGTGTACATATATGAGCAGGTGTGCTTGCCTCTGTGTGTGTATGTGTGTGTGTGTGTGTGTGCGCATGCGCGCTCAGGCGTGCGTGTGCAGGTCAGGGGTCCACACTCTGATGTTTTCCTCTATCATTCTCCACCTTACTTTCGTGAGACAGGCTCTCTCACTGACCCTGGAGCTGGAATTGCTGCCTAGCAGCACCCCAGACCCTGCTTCTTTCTACATTTTCCCCCCACACTCCACCCTGCTCCTTGCCAACCAGACAAATCCATTTCTCAGGAGCCTGTTCAACCCCAGATGAGGAACTTCACTTCCCAACTTCCCTTGCAACAAAGGTGGCTACTAAGACATGGGCAGAAGACGACTGCATAGCTGTCATGGCCCTTCCTCTCTTCTTGTCTTGTACAAATTGATGATCATGAGAAGGCACCCTGGTCAGCTGATTGAACCTATGCCACAGTTGCCTGCTTTTAAACTTCATTTTGTGTGAAAAGGGTAAACCTTTATTCTTTTGCTTTGTATTGGAGTATTCTGATATTTGCCATGAAATGTACTCATAACCAGCACAAAACCTGAACGCCATTCTTGCATGACAGAAATCGCTTCATTCAGATGCCCATCCATCCATCCCTGCACTAACCTCAAGGTGAGGGATGAGTTTGACATGGTTTGTTTCCTATTCAAGGAAACTTGATCTGTGTTTGAAAGACTAGTGAGGGTTTGCCAAGTGAACAGATCAAAGGAAGAAAATATAGGAAGCAGGGGTGAAAGGGTATATTCAAGATTTTATGGAGTTAAAAATACAGCAAGCAACAAATGATAACCAAGGAAGAAACCAACAATTTTGAACAAACCAGTTTTGATGAGTCACCGTAATGCAAGCCCATTTCTGGGGCTGGAAATGTAGCTCAGTTGGTAGAGCACTTATCCAGCATGTTCAAAGCCCAGGGTGAGATCCCTAGCACCACATGCAACCAGGCTGCACATTTGTCATTCTAATACCCAGGAGGTGGATGCAAACCATCAGAAGTTCAAAGTCATTTTCTGCTACATAGGAAGTTTGAAGTCAGCCCTAGCCTCCATGAGACCCTGCTTCCAAAGAACAAAGTCAGAAGTGATTATTTGGAAAGCACTTTAAAAAATACGTGGTTTGGGATTTCCCAATGTAAGTAAAATAGGACATAGGAAACAAATGGAAAGGGAGACGAGGCATGTTTGAAGCCTTTTACCTTGGAATTGCTTTGCTAGGCTGAATTTATGTCACAAATCCTAGATAAGGTCACTCTCTCTAAATTCATGCCCTGACTCCTTACATGGCCTGTTTCTCAAACCACAGTGAT